CCCTGAACCAAAAACCCCTAAACCCCTAAACCCCTAAACCCTGAACCCAAAAACCCCTAAACCCCTAAACCCTAAACCCCTAAACCCCTAAACCCCTAAACCCCTAAACCTGAAAACCCCTAATTAAACCCTGAACCCAAAAACCCCTAAACCCCTAAACCCTAAACCCCTAAACTCCTAAACCCAAAGAAGGCCTCACAGGCCAGGGCAAGTGGCCAGCTTCCCCACATGTCGGCAATCTCCTGCGCTGCGAAGGATGGGTACGACTACTACGGTTTAGGGCTTTTAAGGGTTTAGGGCCTATAGGGTGTATAGGGTTTATAGGGTTTAGAGTTTAGGGTTTAGGGTTTAGGGCTTAGGGTTTAGGTCTTAGGGTTTAGAGTTCAGGTTTTGGGTCTTGGGTTTAGGGTTTAGGGTTTAGAGTTTAGGTTTTCGGTGTACTTTCAATATTAAGAAAAGCTGCAGCAGTTGCTTGCTCGTGATCATACAGTGCAGCATGCCAACAAGTGAAATCAATCAAGGGTTTAGGGGTTTAGGGTTTGGGGTTTAGGGGGGTTTAGGGTTTAGGGTTTAGGGAAGTTTAGGGTTTAGGGTTTAGGGTTGCAGATGCCTCGCTTCTTGGAGTGTGCTGACATTTCGAGAACTTCCAAGTGTCAGATGAAACGGGTTGTGTTTGATGCTTGTTGAAACTATGTTGATGGACTCTCTCTCTCTGAGCTCGCCTGCCACAGAGGGCCCTTTGGTGAAACTGGACTTCATCAGGCACCCTACATCCTACAGAAGAAGCCCAAAATTGGAAACTTCATAGCCTCAATCCTTAAGAGTAATGTATGGCGAATCCCAGCGCTAATTGTCCTTGACCCGGTTTCCAACTTTTTGGGGTGTACTATGAACCCTTAACCTTAAACCCCCGAAAGGACTCAGGGGCCTCCCATTTGTGACTTCGCTGTGTATCTGCCGGAGGGTCTCGATGTTGAAGTTGTGTGCATCAACAACTCAACAAACATGGCCACAGACAGCACACTTTCACCGGTCCTCAATTTTCGTCGCCCGAACACTCTAAGGCTTTCTAAATCCCTGAAACACTAAAACCAAACACAAACCGCCCCACTCCTTGTCTGCCCCGGCACGGGTGAGAAAATAAACAGCTTCCACGCTGCCGTTGCCGCAAGCGCGCTGCAGCGCCTGCGGTGGAAAGGAGCGGAGGATACATATACGCCAGGCTGAGCATTGGACAAGGATCAGGGACCATCCTTGTTCACAGGTGCTTGGTGGATTGGTGGGGCCCCCGGAAGAGCTAACTGCTTTCCAGAAGATGTTGGGCACACTGCCACACCCTGAGATTGAGAAACTGCCCTGTGCACAGGAGCCGAGGGCTGTTTTCACGGATGGCTCCGGTTTTGGATGTGGCAATCAGCAGGCTTTGTTGTGTTCGTGGTCTGTGACTGAAGCAAGCCCACTGGCCAAGGACAATTCGCTCAGGAGCAGTTGGACTTTTACCTGAAATGAAACAGTCAGTTTTCCGGGCAGAACTACATGCAATCAATGTGGCGATTGCTATGGCGGACAGAACTGTTATATATTCTGATAGTGAGTTAGCGGTCAAGAGAGCTCAGCAAACTCTTTCTGGTACTTTGCATGACACCACCCTCATCCAGCACCATGACAGGGACCTTTTGCAAATCACTGTCGTTCTTCTCAAGAACAACAAACCTCCTGGGGCGATACAGATACGATGGGTAAGGGCACACAAGTCAATCCTTGAGGCAACAGGCTCACACGACATGTGGTGCATCCACCACAACCAGAAGGCAGACACTGCTGCCAAAAACGCTGGTCGTTGTATACCTTTACATGCTTTACATGCTCGGAAAGCACTCTTGCTTCGAATGAAGAATTACTTGGAATCCAAATGTTCCTCGTCAAAGCTGCTTCGCCCAATCATGAACGAATACCCATGATGGAGATGAGATGACAGCTTTGTCAAAACCACGCATAGGCATGCCCAGCAAGGATCTGTGGTAGTTTCACGCGTACGCTTGGGACGATCAGTGCAAGGTGACCCTAAACCCTAAACCTCTTTCCCGAAGGCTCCATGTACCCATAAAGAGCATACTTAGGCCTTAAAGTGAGCCTTAGGGTTTTTCATGGGATTCCGAGCCGGCAGACCAACAAACTCCCGTTCAGTTGCAGCTGACACTGTGAACCCGGAGTCCGGCAATACGCAATCCGGAGTAACCTAAACCCTAAACCCTAAACCCTAAACCCTAAACCCAAAGTAGGGGCCTTAAAGACTTCGAACAAGGGCTCTGGGGATGATTGTGCGATGCTGTATATTACAGTTAATTATAATATAGGGCTTCAGTAATTATAGCAGGGTTTGGGGGAGTATTATAATATGCTGTATACTATACTTAGCTATATTATAGGGGCGTTAGTAAGTAGAGTAGGCTTTTGCGGAGTATTATGCTGTGCTGATGCTGTGCTGTATACTATACCTCGTTATATCCTAGGGGCGTTCGTAATTTGAGTAGGCTTTTGGAGAGCATTATACTGTGCTGTATACTACAACTCGATATATCAAGAAGCCCGAAATAGTACTGGTAAACCCTAAGCCCTCCATTGCACGCTGAGCTCTTGTAGTCTCTAAAACCAGAATCCCAAAGGCTCCATGTACCCATACAGTATATACTTAGACCTTAAAGTACCTATATAGGGACCCCTTTAAGGCTTAAGTATCTACTATAAAGGTACATGGAGCCTTCGGGTCGGAGCCCAGAGATTCCAACCCTCAACCCTTCCCCACCCCCAGAGATGAAATGAACCCGAACAGGGCTTAAGGCTCATACACTGGCAGGGCATCATGGTAGTGTAGTCCTAGTACAAGGGAATAAAAGCCCCTACTTTTAAGGGATATTTGGTCCTTTAGGACCCAAAGCTCGAAACCGCGACCCCAGAGCCCAAAAATCTTTCAAGGGCCCTTGAGTAGAGCCCTTATGGTCTCTAATCGTAGTGGGTATTTGGGATATGTTCGAGGGTAGTTGCGCTCTAAGTAAGGTTTGATATTTAGGGTTTTGGGTTGTGGGTGCCAACAAAAGTTTCCATGCACGCCCAGCAGCCGTAAAACCAGCTTGATCGGCGTCATCCACTGACGCACGGGCTTGGTGCCTGGGGAACTTCTCAGTGTGGATGCTTTGGCGTCTAATGTAGAATGTAGGGGCCTTAATCATGAGAACTAGCATTTTTAGGAAGGGGGTATATTATACTGTATAGGCCGAAATGATTACCAATACTATTTTGGTGGATTCCTTATTATAGTTATAGTTAGTACAACTATGATAGTAGTTGTTTAGGTCCCTACAGTAAACACTGCAACATGCACTATACTCCCCTCTCCCCCCCAACTTCGGAGCCTGCTAGGCTATCCCCAGACCCTCCAACATCCCATAAATTCAGGAATAGCATAAAGCTAAACCCTAAACCCTAAACCCTACACCTAAAAATAGAGTAGGATCCCTAAATGGTTAGAGGTAGATTCCTTAATTAAGAGATCTTGGAAGGTCTAGGCCGTAAACCCCTACACATCCTAAAGAACCTGGACCCGTAACCCCGAAACGCTAAACCCTAAACCCTTCAGGTAGATCCTAAATAAGCTAAACCCTAAACCCTTAACCCTAAACCCTAAACCATGAACCCTATACCCTTCAGGTACATTCCTTAATCAAGGACGCCCTAATCCCTAAACCCTAAACCCTAAACCCTTCAGGTAGATGCCTTAATCCTAAACCCTGAACCCTGAACCCTAAACCCTTCAGGTAGATGCCTTAATCAAGGGATATCGGAAGGTCTGGGTTACATGGTGCTACAGACCCTTGCATCTAGGGTTTAGGGTTGAGGGTTGAGGGTTGAGGGTTTGGGGTTTGGGGTTTGGGGTTTAGTTACCGGATATTTGCGGCCGAAGTGGTGACCTTTCACAGAAACACAGGGCGGAAATGTAATATAGGGGCCTCAATACCTTGAAAAGGTTTTTTGCGAGTATAATATTGCCTAAACACCGTGCGGTTTACAGAGATGTTATTATTAGCTGTTACCCTAAACCCTAAAGCCTAACACTGAATCGCAGTTGCTCTTCCCGAGGCGTGGTGCAGCAGCTGGGCAATGGGCACGAATCCTCGCGAGATCGCATCGACCTGCATTTACTATAGGGTTCAGGTGTGTTGTTTTTGCTTTTGCCAGGAACCTGAATAAACTTCGTCTTTGTAAGGATTTCATTTACTATAGGGTTCAGGTTTGTTGTTTTTTCTTTTGCCAAGAACCTGAATAAACTTCGTCTTTGTAAGGATTCATAGCAAGGAGATCATACTTGGGAACCCTTAAAAGGTAGGCTGTATGGAGTTAAAGTAGGGCTTGGGCTTTAGGGTCTAGGGTTTTTTGTCTCTTTTTGTTGGATCAGGTTCAGGTTAGCAAATGGAAGGCTTAAGGACATATGCGTAGTTAGGTCCCTTTTAACCATTTTCATAAGGGTGCCGTACCAGTTTGGTGATCTAAGAAGGGACCCTTCTTTAGAAAACTTCCCCTTTGTTTTGGACTCTGGGCTCCAGGGCTTACGGCAATTGGGGTACTTCAAGCAGCTTGGTGTTCACTCAACCCCGAATCCCAAAGAGACTTAGTAACGAAGGTTATTATTAGGGTGTGCATACATATAGCTACTTAAAAACCCCAATGAAGGTGCTTATAACCGTACGTACTATGTCCCATGATCCTCCAAGTAAACCCACCCCCAAAGGCCCCGCTTTGTAGCGCCCTCTATGACCCGGAAAAAGCCGACATAAAGCCCCAACACCCAGACTCTAGCCCAAGACCGAAAAAGGACATGTTACTGTAACGAAATCATAAATATGCGTAAGTGTCAGGGCTTCGAGTAGACCCTAAACCCCTAACCCTGAACTCTAAAGCCTAAACCGTAAACCCCGTGAACCCTCCCTCTGGACCAGCAGTGGAGCGCCCTCTGCGGTCGCAATGCTCGGGTCCTGGCAGCTCCTGAAAGGTCTGGAAAGCAGTTGTTTAGAGTTCAGGGTTTAGGGTTTAGGGTTCTCAGGGCTCCGTATAATAGTCATAGTATGTACAAGCTTCAATATAATAGTGCTTCTTTATGGCTCTTTACTCCATACACCCCAAAACATTATGCTACCTTATTCAGAAATCGAACCCATGCATCAGTATCTTTCAGGACTCGTCGGCGTTTGGGGCGTGCAGTGATTTTGGTGCTTTGCGTTTCGGTCGGCAAGACTATGGATCAAGGGGTGGGGGTGGGGTGGAGATGTACATACATGTGTGTGTGTGTGTGCGCGAGTGTGAGTGTGTGGGTGTTTCTAGATGCACATGCAGACGTACATTCGTACATACATACTACATACATACATACATACATACATACATACATACATACATACATACAGACAGACATACATACATACAGACATACACACATACACACATGCAAATATACACATATACATACATACATACATACATACATACATACATACATACGTACATACATACATACTTACTTACTTACATGCATGCACACATACATACATTATCATACACATTCGTACATATACACACATATGTATGTATGTATGTATGTATGTATGTATGTATGTATGTATGTATGTATGTATGTATGTATATATAAATGATCATATATATATATATATATATATATGTGTGTATGCACATGTGCGTATATACATATATATATAGAGAGAGAGAGAGAGAGGGAGCGGTGCACACACACACACACACCCAGAGACGCGTTTTTTTGTTCTCTCTCTCTCTCTCTGTCTAAAGCCCTCCAAACCCTACACCTGCCTGAGGAGGTCGGAAGTTGTTACGCGATCGCCTTCCCGAACCGCAGTTCTCAGCTCCTTGGTTTCCCGGCACACGGGGCGGGGGGGTAGGGTTTAGGGTTTAGGGTTTTGGGGTTTTCGGGTTGAAGGTTTGGGTAGAGTTTTGAGTTGCAGGGATCAAACCGTAAACCCTAAACCCCAAGGTTGAGGGTTTGAGGTGCTTTGGGGTGGAAGGATTAGGACAGCGTGGCAGCTTATGGTAAGGTTGCGATTTAAGACCCTAATGGGGACCCTATGAGGAGGCCACAGTTCAATTGTTCATACCCTTATTTCCACCATTTTAGTTAATAAGACAACATGAAGAACTGATGTTGAGTCTGTGGACGGAGTTTCTGGTGCTGGGTATGCCTATGTATAGAGGATTCGGGGTTCAAGAGCCAGTTGCAACAAAGTCTTGGGAAAAGGGGCGGTTTAGGGTTTAGGATTTAGGACAGCTACACCAGGAGGGAAAGGTTTCTTCAGCAACTAGGAGAGGAGTACAAAGTTCAAGAACGAAAGCGCGGCCTCAACTTGGGTCGCGGCACAGAATCCCCAAACCCTGGGCTCTAAACATCCCCCTCCTTGAACAAAAGGCAATCCGTACGCTCCCAAATTCCCCCTAAACTCCTAAACCCTAAACCCCTAAACTCCTAACCCTAAACCCTAATCCAAGCAAGCTGCTTCATCGAAGTCGGAAACTAAGGGCAGGTGCACCACCTGCAGGTCGCACCTCGGCTTCGCCCCTCACAGACGGTTTAGGGGCTCAGAGTTGAGGCTTGCAGGGCTTAGGGTTTAGGGTTTATAGGGCTTTCAGAATTAAGGCTTTCAGGGGTGGTAGTCAGGTGTAACGAATTGGAATAGGGTTTTGGCGTAAACATAATAAGAACCCCCCCCCAAAAAAAAACTATTGGGAATGATTTAGGCTTCGATCTTAGGGTGTGTTTTTGTTTGAGGGTTTGGAGCTTCTGGCCCTAAACCCTCAACGCTCAACCGCAAAACCCTCAACCACAAACCCGAAAGCGCTAAACCCTAAACTCCACCTGAAAACCCTAAAACCTAAACCCCTAAAGACCTAAAGCCTTAACCCCTAAAGCCCTAAACCCTAAAGCCCTGAAGCCCTAAAGCCCTAAAACCTTACACCTAAAAGCCTGCTCTCAAGGCAAAGGGTCCAGGGCTTGGGCTTTGGAGGGGCTAGGGTTTAGGGGTTTAGGGGTTTAGGGGTTTAGGGGTTTAGGGGTTTAGGGGATTAGGGATTTAGGGATTTAGGGGTTTGGGGATTTAGGGGTTAGAGGTTTCGGGTTTAGGGTTTAGGATTTTGCAAGCTTCAGGCTGTCGCGACGCGCAGCTTGGGCTTTGGAACGGCTAATGGGGTTAAGTTTTGGGTTTAGTTAACGGAAAAATTCAAAACCCAAAACCCTAAACCCTAAACCTAAACCCTAAACTCTAAACCTAAACCCTAAACCCCAAACCCTAAACCCTAAACCCCAACACCCATAACCCTAAACCCTAAACCCTAAACCCCAAAACCCATAACCCTAAAC